ATAGTTTTGCTTTGATGAACATTAATTTGATATATTAACCACTCTTAATAAAGGAGTATATCCACTAGTAACATACCTATTAAGTAGAAAACACCAGGTTCAACACTGTCGTAATTGATTGATCCATTGACCACTATGGAAGTTAACTAGTGTTGCCAAGCTTAGATATTTATTTCTAGAAGAATAGTCTCTATGTAAATACTTGGGAATGGCCTCATTTATCTTGGGAAGTTTTTAGGGCAAGAAAATGAACTTTGTTTTAAAAAAATAGGAGAGACTGGTCACATAAGAGTGGAAAGCGGAGGCATGGTCTAGAAGCAACTTGGAGACTTCAAAACACAGGGTATGAATGAATGAATGAATGAGTAAGTGAGTGAATGAATGAAAGAAACTGATAACAGAGCAAATTTGTGACCTTCTCCCTGGATCATGACTATACCCATGTGGACCTTACATTTATTTGTTTGTTTATTTCTTTAACAAATAATTGAGTGTCTTCTGTGTACCAGTGTGGGACAGAATAAAAGAGAAGGCTCTCTGTCCTCCTGGAATTCAGTCTGGTAGGAAAGATAAATGTTGAATGAGGAATTATAAGCATAATCACTGCTACCAAAGAAAAAGTACAAAGGTGCTTTCAGATCATATAACCAGGGCCGGTGGGGAGGTTAAGGATAGGGGAAGAGAAAACAGGTTTGGGGCCAGCCTCCTTGGAAATTAGAAAGATGAATACCTGTTAGGTAAGCAAAGAATAGAATGAAATTAAGAAAGTCCTAGAAGGAAAAATAACATGAACTAAAGCCTTTAGCCAAATTTAAAAGTGCAAAATTTGGGGCTCAGTCAGTAAGTGTCCGACTTCAGCTCAGGTCATGATCTCACGGTTTGTGAGTTCGAGCCCCATGTTGGGCTCTGTGCTGACAGCTCAGAGCCTGGAGCCTGCTTCAGATTCTGTGTCCCCCTCTCTCTCTGCTCCTCCCCCACTCACACTCTGTCTCTCTCAAAAATAAAAACATACATAAATAAATAAATAAATAAATAAATAAATAAATGTGCAAAATTTGAAGAGTTAAAAGCAGTATGGCTACATAGTCTGTAGCATGTTAGATGGGAAGCTGATACAATAAGGATATTGAGAATTTGGCAGGAACCAGATGGTGGGATTTGAAACTTTGGAAAACATGGGAAAGTTTTGAAACTTAGAAACTGTATTCTGAGGGAAAAAGGAAGCTATTGAATGTAAGAAATGTAGCAAGGGGCATCTGGCTGGCTCTGTCGGTGGAGGATGCAACTCTTAATCTCAAGGTTATGCATTTGAGCCTCATGTTGAGTGTAGAGATTACTTAAAATCTTAAAAAAAAGTGAAATAATCAGATTTGTGTTTAATTATTTTGGATTAAGAATTAATTGGCATAGCACAAGAGTAGAGATCTTTCACCCTCTTAATATGAACAAATCCTAACCTGAGAGCATTATTTTCAGTTTTAAATCATTAAACATTCCTTTTCCTAACTATCCCTATTAAATGTTATTTCATCCCTCTAGTGAGATATATGATATCAAATCATGCATATGTGGAGTTAAGAACAGGTCATAAAAAGTAAAGCAACCAAAGAAAGTTACAAAGAGCAAGGACATTAATTCCAGCACTGAGGTTGAAATTAGCTAAAGAATTGAGGTTAATAGTATTTCCCATGTGAAAAATGCCATTGCATTTCTTGTTGGCTGTGTAAATTAGGACTTCTACTCAATCTCTGGGGTCTGAGCTAAGAATGCTTCAGTAAAAGCAAGTTCAGGGGACTGATATAACATGTGTGTTGATTTGATGCAGTATAAATATTAACACACTTGATCCCAAAGTAAATATTGACCCACCTCTGTTCATTAGTGTCATTTGATAGTCTATAGTCTAAGAACTACAGAAATTTATTTATTAATATTAAAGTCATTCATTCTGATCTTGTTTCTTACTCCCTTTGTATTGTAGGAATTAGTGGCACAAGACAGCTTGATTGGAGAAATCTCAATTATATTGATACTCCAAGTTTTTGACCCCTATCTCTGAAAGCAAGAGGAAATTTGTGATTGGGTTAGGATGCTGAGCGCATTGCCTAAAGGAGTTTTGAGGCTTTGAGAGAAACAGAAGGAACCTTTTTTCTTGAGTCTTCACAACTTTAATCAAATCATCATTCTCTTTCATTGCTCAGTCTTTTTCTAACCCTGGATGATACATTTTTATGAACAGGTACCTTACTGGTTCACTTTCCTTAATATCTAACAATATCAGTTGATAGGTAGTAATCATATAATTGATTGTTAGCATTTTGAGTTCTCATAAAGCAGCATATTCTTTCTCTCAGTCTGATTGTTAACACATTGGAGCAAGGTCCAGATCTTAGTGGCCTCAGTGTCAATCTAGGGTATTTTGCTTGTGCTAAATACTGAGTTGAATAAATCAATTCATTGAATGAATTATTACTTATAATAACTACTTCCTTGTCCAGTTCTACATTACCAGTAGCCTAATAGTGCCCAGTACTTATTTATTCCAGTATTGCCAGAATGACTTATGTGCCAGGTACTGTGCAAGTTGGTAACAGCATATGGGGGAGACAGGTAAATGAACGAAAATCAACAAGAAGCTGAAATTTGGAGCGTGACATCATTAGTAGCCTTTTCCAGTATAAACATCCTCAAACCTGCACCACAGTTTCCATTGCTGGAACAAGGTGGTTGGTTGCTAAAATTAAGCAAGACAGTTTTTCCCCCCAACTTGAATGAAAAATATAAATTCAGACTATAATTCCTTTGTTTTTTTCATCTGTAACATACTCATAAACAATTTCTACTTCTGGTAATCTTGACAGAAGGCAACATAATAAACAAGTAGTAAACTAATATTAATGGAGAAACTCAGAACTAATTATGTTTAGCTTGAAGACTTTGAAAAATGATTCACTTGTGCTTACACTTTGATTTTATATTGTATAGTTATATAGGTATGTATACATACCTATATGTTTTCTGCTAGTAAAGTTATTCCTAGTTTATGTGATTATATTAATATGCAAATATGTTGTTTCCTAAAGAACATTATGCCTTCCCATTCAAACACATTTGATCAAGTCCTAACCCAGTTTAGCATTTTGATCTTCTTTCTGGCCCCTGAACTCCTGGGAATGCTACTCCACCATCGCAGCAGATAATATTTGACTCTGCAAAGGATGATGGGTACTCTGAACACATACATACAGTATGTATCATGAAGATGCCCCTTCATCATTATCTGACTAAAAGAAGTAAATCTGCTGCCTTATTAGTCTGTTGTGTTGCCTCATTGGGGGTATGATAGAAGGCAGAGAAAATACATTTGAGTGGTTTGGAAAGTGAGTTTCAGACTCTTAAAGCTGAATAAGATACTGGTTCTTGTACTTTGTCATATACAGAGAAAGAACACAGCCATTTATTTATTTATTTATTTATTTAAATTTTTTTGTTTTTACATTTATTTATTTTTGAGAGAGAGAAACAGAGAATGAGCAGGGGAGGGGCAGAGAGAGAATCAGAAGCAGGCCACAGGCTCCAAGCTGTCAGCACAGAGCCTGATGCAGGGCTTGAACCCACGAACCGTGAGATCATGACCTGAGCTGAAGTCGGACGCTCAACTGACTGAGCCACCCAGGCACCCCAAGAACACACACAGCCTTTTAATTCGCAATGAGAGAAAGGCCTGGCTACTTTTTTTTTTTTTTTTTTGTCCTTTTCTTACAATAGCATTGGTAGAGATATATAGGTTCTCATAACTTCAAGAATCTTTGCATTCATCTTATATGAGCACTAATTGTATAATAACCAATAACCACTACTGTAATAACCTGGAAAGCATGCAAGTCAGCTTGAATCGGCCAGGAAGTAGTTGAGCAGACTAATTTCAGGGGTCTTTGTTCTCTTCTTTTCATTTGACTAACTCATTGGAGAGGAGTTCGTTTAGATTTTGTAATTATCAGTGTGGCTAGTATATAGGAATGAGATGTTAGATGTTGCTTTTTCTTATTTAACGTTTATTCAGCAAACATTCTTTAAACTGCTCCGTGTGCCAGGCACTGAGCTGGTCACTGAGTGCTAAGAAGTAGTTAACACTTGAATTGCTCTTACCAACATGCCAGACATGTTTTAAGTACTGGACATTATATTAACTCACTGAATACTTAAAAGAACTCTGCGAGGTAGGTACTATTATTTTTCCATTTTACAGATGAGGAAAATGAATTACAGAGAAGTTCTGTAGCTGACCCAAGATCACTTGGTTAGTGAATGAGGAAGTGGGGATTAGAATGCTAGCAGTCTGGCTCAGAGTCCCTCCTCAGCCAGTCTGCTGTCTTGTAATGCTTCTTTCCCTACATCTTTGTCTTTTATGAGCTGCCTTCACCTCAGCCACATGCTAGTTTCATTTTACATTTCATGAGCATTGGAGGCTGAGTTTGTGTTTTTTTATAGTTGACAGTTATGAGTCCTCCAACCCAGTATATTTAAAGGCCGGACACATTAAAGTACTTCATATATGTACGTTGAATGAGTGATTAGTGACAACTGAGAGACTTTAAGATGTGATGTTAAGAGAATTTGAAATTATTTTGATGGTTCTTCTGATTTGCAGAAAAATACTCATGTTCAATATTTCTTGAAACCCCAATATTTCTTGAAAATACTCATATTTGAAGAAAAGTACTCATGTTCAACAACTTCAGCTGCTACATGACCCAGGCAGTGGTAACTAAGCATATGTGAGTGTACCTGTGCTCTGAGGTCACATGCATATGTGTTTATATACATTCATATTATACATAGGAAACAGGGACAGAATTTCCCTCTTTGCATTGACATCACTAGTTGTGCTGCCAATCAGCACCACCCTTCCTGCTCTGCTCTCCTATTGTCCCCTCATGATTTGTCCTCTTGTGTGTCACCCCTAGTCTGACTGACAGTACTGCACAAGCCTGCCTGCCATGGGCTGTCGGGATGTCCATGCAGCCACAGTCCTCTCCTTCCTGTGTGGAATCGCCTCGGTAGCAGGCCTCTTTGCGGGGACTCTGCTTCCCAACTGGAGGAAATTACGACTGATCACATTCAACAGAAATGAGAAGAATCTGACTGTTTACACTGGCCTGTGGGTGAAGTGTGCCCGATATGATGGGAGCAGTGACTGCCTGATGTATGACACTACTTGGTACTCATCAGTTGACCAGCTGGACTTGCGGGTCCTCCAGTTTGCCCTGCCTCTCAGCATCCTGATTGCAATGGGTGCCCTGCTGCTCTGCCTGATTGGAATGTGTAACACGGCCTTCAGGTCCTCAGTGCCCAACATCAAACTGGCCAAGTGTCTGGTCAATAGTGCAGGCTGCCATCTGGTGGCTGGGCTGCTGTTCTTCCTGGCAGGTACTGTGAGCCTCTCCCCATCCATCTGGGTCATCTTTTATAACATTCATCTGAACAAGAAATTTGAGCCAGTCTTTACATTTGACTACGCAGTGTATGTCACTATGGCTAGTGCTGGGGGCCTGTTTATGACTTCCCTTCTACTGTTTATTTGGTACTGTGCATGCAAATCTTTGCCTTCTCCTTTCTGGCAACCACTGTATTCCCATCCTCCCAGTATGCATACTTACTCACAGCCCTATTCAGCACGCTCTCGCCTCTCTGCCATCGAAATTGACATTCCAGTAGTTTCACATACCACCTAATGGGGAAGTAGTTAGTTTTCAGAGAAAACTTGTATCCTCACATTTCCCTTGTACAAGGAGCTGTTTTAGACCTATATACATTTTTCTTTGTTTCTGACCAATGAAGCCAAATTTGTATGTCCCAGTAGAATGAAGTGCTGCTAGTTTTATGAAAAGTACATTATTTCAAATGTGAATCATTCCTTTTATCTTGCTTCTTATGCTAGAAGGATTTTTAACCTCTATGTTGATATCTAATCAGTTATTCAAGTGGAAAGGACCTGTGTCTCAGTTGAGGTGATTTAGAACAACATGGTAAAGTAAAAAAATGATGGCTAAGAGAGGCTGTTGTACATGATCTTTATGAGTATTTCAGAATGTGTATTGTCCTTTTTCCATAATACCTTAAACTGGGAAGAAGGGCAATTTCAAATATAAGAAATTTCTTTCAGGTAAGGGTAATGTTTTAACAGTAGTCAGTCTACCAGCTTAAGGCTGTAACTTTTCTTACCTTTCTCTCGGGGCTAATTGTATTGAATAGAGTTTGGTAGTTTGAAGATTACTTTCTTTGTGAGTTCCTTATCTTCTACCTCATGGCAGTGTTTAAAAGTAAAATGCATTTTAAGTGATGGCAGAGAGAATAAGCCTAACATTTTAAATAACTACTAGTATGGATAACATTTAACATAATTTTAAAAGTTAATGATTCTGTAAATTGTATTATTAGAGTTAAAATGGGGCCATGCGATGGATTGGTGCTTCCTCTCTGAGGCAGAAAAGCCTTATTTTTTTTCAGATAGCATCCACCAAGTAATAGTCATGCACCTGTATAATCTCTTAGTGACAAAGAGAAAGAAAGAAAGAGGCCCAAGTGGTTGGTTCTCTTTTAGACAGTGGTAGGGGACGAGCATCTGTTCTTTGGCAACAATATCAGAGATTCACTCTGGTGACTGCCTTTTGAATGATGAGTGAAGTAAGTTATGGCTTCACCATGACCACATTCACTCTTGATTCAGTTCCTGCCCTTGTCACTGATTATTTCCTTGAGCATATATCTTTGCTCAACACTTTAGTGGGTGCTTTAGAGAATACATGAAAAGTATGAGATCAGGTCCCATCCACTAAGAAATTTTAATATAATAAAGAAAATCAAACTGTTAAACAACAGGGAACAGTCTGACTTTATTGGCAGCTGGTCTTAATTTCTCAGTCATTGATCCAGGAATATATTTCAACCAGCGACGTGGCTTTCTAGCAGACAGGCTTATTGTACAATACCAGCAATATTCTGGAACTTAGAAATTCAGTTCATTGGATCTTTTAGAGCACCTACCTTAGCCTAGACACTGTAATGACACTGTCGGATTCATGAGAATGGACAAAATTGGTAGAGAAATTAAATTGTTTCCTTCTCACCTCTGAGAGTATGATGATGTATTGAAGAGGGAGGAGTATTTAAAATCTTTCCTCTAAAGGGGTAATATTTAGGTACAACCATGTTAACACCAAGATGAATGCTTAGAAATTCAGGGAAATTGGGTCTTTACCCTTATGAATTTGAGCTGCTGACTTAATTGGTATAATTTGCTACACATTAGTACTATGTTCATAAGGATTTTGTTTTATTAACCATTACATACTTCACAAACAGCTAGTTGCATGGTAAACAGGTGGTTATTATGCCTCTTTGCAAATCTGGATATGATTCTGGTACTTCTGTGGATGTAAGTGGTTCTTCCCCACCCCCCCCACCCCCCGCAATTACAGCACTAGTTTATGTATATAGCAAATAAATCCAGTTGTAAACTTTTTAAATGCCATCAGTATAAAGCATGCAAAACTATGGTTTTTTTAGTTATAGCTTCTGATTACCTTCAGTTCCATTCCTTTTTACTCTTCGCAGATGTAGCTGAATCTTAATTACTCCAAAACAATGGCAAGTAGAATTTTGAGATTAATATTAATTTACTCCTGTGCTAATTAATATCAGTCCCCTCTCTCACTAAATTTGTCCAGAAGTGTCAAGAATTCTACCATCTTCCTGTTCTTTGTATAAACAATGTTAAAGAAAAGCAGATTCAACCATTAATACACTAGACATGTTTTAGTCCATGCGATCATAAATATAAATGTGCAGCTTTTCCTGTAAGCATTTTTTGCAGTCTTTTCATAATCTGTAGACTCAAATTAGTATTTATTATGGATATACTAGGCAAAAGAAACAGCTGTTTCCCTTATTGTCTTTAATATTTCAGATTTGCTATCAATACCTATTCTTCAAAGCCATCAAAGGAAAGCAAGTATTTACATTTCTTTTTAGTAGTTTTTGAGTACTCATCAAGCTATCATTGTGATGGGGGATATGTTTTTTTGTTGTTGTTACAAGTTATTAATGTTAAGGGCCTTTTACAGAATCCAGCTTGGAAAACAACCTTAAATGTGATATGATGCACCAGATTTGGTTTATCCAGCCATGGGAGGAAAAAAAAAAGAACCACTCTTGAGTTTACTTTACTTGTAATTATACACTATAATAGATAATATTTGTTGTAAACTGCAATGTAAAACCTCAGTGAAACTGCACTGTATTTCTTGATGTTTATTAAAAGATGTATTTTTACAAGTTTTTGTTTCCTTTTCCTCAATGCTTTAAGGGAAAATGTTTTGAGAAATGTTTCTCAAATATATATAAATTGGAAAAGATACAGCCCATTTAAAGCCCTATAGAATAGCAATTGGAAAGGAATTGGAAAACATGGATTTATTATTCCAGAAGCATCAAGACCCTTCACCCATTTTAAGAGTGTTCCTAGGAGTTCACTGGACTATTTTAACGTTCCACAAGAAAGCACTGAATGAAGTTAGTGTGCCAGATTTGCCTCATCAATGGAGTTTTCTCATGGTCTGTGTTCCTGAAGATTGAGAGTTCTCAAATGGTTAAATAGGAGGGTGTTTCCTTATTCTTCAGAACATGAGGTTTCCAGAAGTGGTCCTGATAGGTAAGTCACCTTAAAATTTCTGAAGCCTGGGATGGGCTTTTAGTTTTTGGATTATAGCCTTCTGGGATGCTTCTTATATGCACTCTTCACTGAATCCCCCCTCTGTGGTAGTACCTTAGATGGAAGAGCCGTACATTGCACTGGAAATCGGAAGCTGCTACAGGTTGGGCATCCCCAGCTGAATACGCTAACACTACAATTCAGAGTCTGCCCCTCAGTTGGACAGGTTCAGTGAGGAAGACTGAGTGCTGGAGAATTCCTTAATGCAAACCAAATTCACAAGAGACTGATTTACCAACCATAAATGAGAAATACAGCTTACTGGCAACCACTATCCAAGACCTGTTTTATAAATACACCCTAAACAGATCTCCTATGAGAAAAGACAAATTCCAGCCCTGGGATAGGCAAAGTACAAGACAAGCCCAGCATATCTTTCTCTTCCAGAAAGTAGAAAATGCTCAAAGAATGATGGAGACTTGACAAATTATATAGGAGCCAGCTTGAAGAGGTTCCCACTGGCCACACCTGACAATCTGAGCATCAAAATGAATAGTAATGGGTTCTGATCCATTGAATAAATCCAAATTTTGTGTGTCTGTGCTGATATAAATAGAAAGAAAGAAAAGCTGTTTATTATAGTAAAATACCAAGAAGTAAATATAGAGAAGAAGATGGAGTTAGGAAAATATTAATAGAACTAAAGTTAGTTTGTGAGAGTTTGATGAAAACCAACATACTTACTTAGTCTCAAAATACTCAGTAAGTCTACAAATGACTTATTATTTTCAAAGGGGAGAATACTAACTTTATAGTGGATAAAATTGCCAGACACAGCCTTAACTGAGTGATCACATATATTATCAATAATAAGACCAACATCTCCTGATATGTTGCAATAAGGACACACCATTGCTTTTGTGGTGTTGCCATAAAAAATACATAGCTTGTGACTAATCTTGAGGAAATTTGCAGCTTGTCAGTTCTGTTTTTGCTTTTTGTTTTCTTCTTCTGTTCCTGACTCCCACTTCTTCCATTTTATAAAAAAGGCATATGGGGCACCTGGGTGGCTCAGTTGGTTAAGTGTTTGGCTCTTAATTTTGGCTCAGGTCAAGATCTCATGGTTTGTGAGTTTGAGCCCTCCGTCTGGCTCTGTGCTGCAGCTCGGAGCCTGCTTGGGATTCTCTCCCTCCTATCTGCCCTTCCTCAGTTCTCTCACTCTCTCTCTAAATAAATGAATAAAATAAACATTTAAAAATATATTGGGGCACCTGGGTGGCTCAGTCAGTTAAGTGTCTGACTTCAGCTCAGGTCATGATCTCACAGTTTGTGAGTTCGAGCCCTGCATCAGGCTCTCTACTGACAGCTCGGAGCCTGGAGCCTGCTTTGGATTCTGTGTCTCCCTCTCTCTGCCCCTCCCCACTTCACGCTCTGTCTCTATCTCTCAAAAATAAATAAATGTTAAAAAAAAAAACACTTTAAAGATATAAATAAAAATTTTAAAAGGCAATTAAGACTTACATTCTAAGTTGCCTCCAAAATATTGTGTGCAGTAACTCTTTTAGGAGGGATTTTGAAGAGCTTGTATCAGGTCTTCCATACTGAAAAACTAAAAAGCGAAGATCCCTTCCAGAAGAGATGTAAATCAAAGTCACAAAACCACAGGACCTGGTTCTTAATTAGCTGTCCCATTTCCATTCATTAGGAAAATATCTTCAGTCCAAAACATACTGACCTGTTAGTTTATAGGGCTCTCTCCCCTTGCTCTCCATCTCTGACATTTGGAGGAAGCTTTCTAGGAGAAGGTCACTCTCCCTGTACCTGCTGGGTGTCTCCCCACCCTCTACTTCAGAAAGGTTCTTCTAAACCTCTGCAGGATTGTAGAATTCAAGTAGAAAAAAGCACAACTGTTGCCTGCCTGGTATTCATATCCAAATCCACTATTAATGAGGAATTTGGGTTTGTTTATTGTGTTTTGTTTGGAAATATACCAACTTTCCAGACTGTTGTATAAAACAAATT